TGACAACCCGTCGAAAAGATGCTCCAATGAAGATTCCAGAACGCTTCCTTTCTCGTTCAACTTCTCCAACCAGCTGATTTTTTTCAATTCGGAGTCAGCTTGCATTGCGAAAAATGACAGTTTGACGCAGTATTCCAAGTTGGAGATGGCCTCAACGAACCTCGTTTTAACGTGGTCCCACTTATCTTCCGTGTTGTTTTGTTCAAGTCTCATCGAAATCTTCTTCAACATTCCCTTCAATTCGTTGAAATTCTCTAAGATCTCTACATGTTTGAAGTCCGGTTTGAACATGTTAACAATGTCGTGAACGGTGTTCGCAACTGGGAAGATGCTGCCAACTATGGATAGACTGACATCGACGAACTGACACGTTAAGCCGGCAACCTGCCGTTTGGACGTTTCGTCAAATTTGATGCCGCGGTGGTGGGGCTTCTTGCTGCTGACCATGTCCGAATCAAATGTGTCCTGGTCATCGCCACTCATCATATCCGAATTAAATGAAAGTTTACGCTGACTTCATCTCAGTAAATCACCTTTTTTTGGAAAATTTCATCTAAAAATTAACAGAGCATCTAAAGAAGTTTTGAAGAGCAACAGTCACTTTTGAGAATCATCAAACTACTTCACATATTTTTAACTGCATTTAATCATTTTTTTAAATAAAAGTTTACAGTTTACAGTTTCAACATTAAGATAAAAACATGTTACATTTTTGAAACAATGGTGATAAAATTACAAAATTGATAAAAAATCTTTCAAAACATGGCCAACTCAATTAACTAACCACAGAACATAATTCATTGCACGTACAAATAAAGCAAAAAATCGTTTCATGTTGTATTTATTCTATTCATACATATATATTCTGCATCACTATTCTATACCATTCTATACATACACAATACGGTGTTATATATCACTTATACGCATACCTTATAGAATATATTGCACACATACACTCATAAACATACACTCTTCAATCTTACCTGTTGAGACGAATCGTCATTGTACTGCGTGACAATGTATTTTAACAACACACAATAAAAAGGCCTCAATGGTTTTATGAATATTGATGAGTAAGTATTCATGAATATCGATGAGTTTGTATTCATAAATATTGATTAGATTGTATTCAAGAATATTAATAATGGCGTTTATGTGAAATCATTAAATCCATCGAGCACAAGCAAGCATTCATGCAGGTATCAAAAGAAAACATACCCATATATGGTGCATGTACGTCTGGTACAAAAAGAGGCACATCCCTTCGGGGATATCCCTTCCAATCCAATCCACCTTAACCACGAAGACTCATCTGACTCACTTAACTGTCATCTCTTGTCAGTGGCAAAAATGCAACCACATAACTTCACCTTCGACGGGATTCGAACCCGCAATCCCCGGCTTAGGAGGCCGATGCCTTATCCATTAGGCCACGAAGGCTCGCTGAATGAATCCACTTATGTAATTTGCTAAATCATTATTTTCCAGGCAATATATATATATATATATATATATATATACATATCTATATATATATATCCATATATACATATATATATATGTCCAGAAATAAATATTTTCTAGTGTTATAAACATAATAGCACTAATTTAACACAATCTAGATTCTAGATCCTAGAAGCATTTGCGTCATTACATAAACAATGTTTAACTGCCGCTTCATGATTTTTTGTATAAAATATAACGAATTCGTGACGTCATTTTCGCCACTCTGCTATTGCTGTCAACACAAGTGAAATTTATAATGGAAAGAATAGGAAAGTTTTGGCGAATTCAGTTTGGAATTCCTTGGTAAGCTTTATATTATTCCATAATATTTTAAAAGAATGAACAAAATATACAATTTTAAAATAAAATTTATTACAATAACTATGGTGATAATAATAAAAATAAGAGCCCAATAATAATTATCGGTTTATCATCAATTTTTATCATTTATTCACTGAAATTATCATCATTATATAAAATAAAGTGATCTAAAATCCAATCCAAATATTACTGTAATGTCGTCTTTGTTGCTATGAAAGCTCCAAGTTCATTTTATTGCGAAAAAAATAAATACAAAATAATCATTATCAATAAAATCGATAAAAAATCGCTTTGTCGATAAACAATAATAATATAACAATATATATATATATGCATTTCTGAGTCTTAATCCAATATATATATATATAACCATATATATATATATATATATGTTGGTAATAGACCATAATTTTTACAATATTCTATAAATTCTACCGAATGTTTGGCGTTAATATGTTTGCAGTTCGTTTTTTCGATTTTTCTCACTAAAGTTTTTTGGTGAACGTTTAGTTTATTAAAATTCAAAATAAACTTATTTTTCGAATTCATGCTGCAAATAAGGTCATATTTCGATTCCGAATGAATCATCATCAGTGATCCTTGCTGTATATATAGGGAAATATTGACTTTGTCAAGATGAACTTTGACGTTGTAAAAATTAACTTTGGCG